CCCCCCAAATAAGAAGATTAACAAGTATTAATAAGTATTAAGAAGATTATCAAGTATTCAAAATAAATTCGGATTTATCTAAATCCAAATACTTGCCTACTTCTCGCAAGGTGTCGAGAAGAAAGAAATCGCACCATGTCGCTTAATTGTATTTTTCTACGAAAGAACTAATGTTTTCTACGCGGTACTTGTCTCGCTTAATCGCTTACTAAGACTAATTAAGGGCATCTGCACGATGCATCTTTCGTGATTAATTTTTCTTTGAAAATTTCCTACAAAATTTAATCCCTTGTAATTAATTAATCATCAATGCTCAAAATTATCGCCAACCACGATAATGATTTAGATTATAATTAGATCGATCGAACGTTATTATATAAAGAGAAAAACACTCGTGTAGTTTGTAGATTATCGAATGACAGGCATCCCAAAGGTTGTGTCGCTTCTTGACGCTAACTTTATGCTTATAATAATAATATTTACGTTGGTAATTATTTTCAAGTACTGCAACTTCACACATTTCGACGATTTTTGAATATGTTGTACGTTTTGAATTAATTGTCCAAAATGTTCGCAAAAATGTGTCGGTACCAGTGAATTCTATCTATAATCGTGCGTCCGTGATAGCTTATGTGTTAACATTGGTAAACTGACGCTTAACTAAATCTATATATGCTATAAACAAACGATAAGAATTAGTTTTGGGCCAGGTGCTATTTTATTCGGCCACAATGAGATAGTCGGCAACCAGTACCAGCGCATACGTTGCCATGGATACACAATACATGGATACACTGTTGTACCGGCAGCCTCTTACGAATATCTCGGAAACTAAGGTCAGCCGAGGATTATATGTTTAGGAAAACGTTGTTCAAAATATTGATTTCTACAACATATTAAAAAATCATCGAAATCGATGAGGTGGCAGTACTTGTAAATAATAACAATATTCCCTCACGTTTATTTTTGCTGGTAGATCGGATCTTGTTTTACGGGGAAGTCGAAAATTTACCTTTGATATCCTCTTACGCTTAAACACGTTCTCCGTACACGTTACGAGTATTGTCAGCGGCACGTTTAAGTATATTGCCTCTTTACTCTTTTTATACTCGTTGTTTCTCGCCTTTTTTTAAATAAAACATATCCCTTCTGATTGCTTCGGATACATTTTGTAGATTGACGACAACAGTATCTTGTAAAGCATAGAAAAAAGGTTTCTATAAATATATCGCATAAACAAGATACGGACATATAAAATTTGATAAGAAACGACACGATTTACGAGATGACCTAACGCGATACTTTTATTTAGTAGATTCAAAATACTTAATATCGATTCTTATCCCTGCCGGTACAAAGTCATACGTTTCTCGTGCCTGCAGTCCTAACAATAAGTGAGATGACGCTAGTCATCCTCGCATCTAGGATGGCGTCGTAGAACTAAACACTGGTTAACATAACGTTCGTGTACGTTCTCATATAGCACGCGTTCGATCGATTTCCTTGATTAGTTAAGATCAGAAAGGTTAATAGGGTTTGTCGAATCTAGTCTTGAGTGTAATTCGCTGTAGAAGCTTCGACAATTGTACATGGTATATATTATCCTTTCAAATACGAGTGTTCCTTGCTTTTTCTACATTCCATATTCATCGTGTGTGTGTGTGTGTGTGTTTCTACGTGTGTGACGGTTGCCATCCTTATAACATTTCGAACGAAACCATCGACTCTTTGTTCTCTGTCTTGCGAACCAATTAGTACAAACTAAATATGTTTGTAACCAGTGTTGATTACACTCTTCTATTGTTCCGTGCGTTTTAATTACTCGTGCAGCGCAATCTATATCTAAAACTATACCGCTTGATTAGAAAACGCACGACAACATCATCACGCCAAGGTCCGCTGTTATTAAGATTTTCCTGTGTTTCGCGAGCACGTCACCGGGTAACAATGAAAAAAAATCTATCGGGCAGGGTCATCTATACTCTGTGTTCAGTAAGTGGAGTCAGTACAGGTAAACAGACGCACGTGACTAGGGCAGAAACGTATTCATAACTTTCAGTTACAATGAAAAAAAATATCGATGTATTATTCCTTATACGTTTAAGTATCTGGTGTAGCAACATCTTTTTATTTACACAAAATTGTTGAAATCGAGTTTTGTTCGGGTTTTCGGTACAAGCACCATCGTGCGTGCTATTCATCCGAGAGTAACGACGTAGGTAAATTTCCTCCTGATGTCAAATACTATCAATTTATTATCGAATAAGAAACGAACACAGAGGCAAAGGGTCGAAATGATATAAAAGTCTGTACAAAAAAAAAACGTTCTAGAAATCAATTTTCTAATTCCTACTTTTGCTTCTCCAATTTTCGATGTTTTTAATTTATTTCAGTGAACGAGTTATCTAAAAGGCTAATTGCTGTCGTTAATTTTTCAGAATATAAATATAGAAAAGAGATAGATCCGTGTTATCTGGCTGTTATCTGATTCGATGGGAAGCGGGGTTTTAGCAAGTTTTCTACACAACGGGCGGCGCTGCGGTGTTTAACGACAAAAGTGAATCTAAGGCTTTTGAACCCTGACACTTTCATCAGTGAAGTGGTCAATTAATTGTGATATTTATATCGTACCCGTTCCACTACACAACCAATAACTGTTTAACCCTTGCCTCGTCAGGCTTCAACGAAATAGTGTGCGTACGTTTAATTAATAGCAATTGTAACCGTACGATTTCGAATTGTTGGGGGCTATTGTGATTTTTCAATCGTAATAGTTTGTAATTGAAGGTCATTGATCGTGTTTACATTTAACTTATATTCAAGGTTTACATCCTAATTTCTTACTTGCTATAAGCCGTTAGTTTTCAGCATTTTTCTCCTAAATGAAATAATACCGAGTTTACGAATGTTTCCAGATCGATAATTATAATTTTTTTAATTTCTACAACGATAGAATTTCATTGTCGTAGCAAATAAATTGTCATAAAATCTCTAAATTATTTACTTTATTCTTGTATTTCGGATACTTTTAATTCTATTACGTTTTTGTTGAACTCGTTCCAATAATCGCTATCATATAATATAAAACGGATTATATCCGTCAATTCGAAAATAATCGATGGAACTCTCTTTGGCCAAACATGGTTCTCATCAACGAACAGTAACTGTTTTTATTTAAACAATGAATTCTTATTTCGTAACTTGTCCGTCGTCGATATTTCGTTTCCTTTTGTCCTCGTTCGATAGTTCTTTCACTCGACGATTTCGCTTCATTAGCGCAAAAGAAAAAAGCGACATTTTTTGTGATTCTACTGAAATCGATAACTCGCATTAAAATTGAACACTGTTTACGTGCGAAGAACGTTTCGATTCGCGGAACTAGAGGTCAGTTGTGTCGGCTAGATTTTTTTCCACGAATTGCCACGAGTACACTCTTTTTTATGCCGATGCAACACGGAATATTGGCCGCCCTCTATCTTATCGTGATTTATCGAAAGTCAAACGATTATTTCACTTTACTCGTCGACGTTTCCATTTATCAGGGTTTAAAGTCTTCAATATCGCACGTAATAATCTTCAATCTATAAAATTCTATATGTAGAACTAGAAAATTCTATTCTATATGTAGAACTAGAAAAAGGCAGGAAAGACAAGGAAGTAACTAAAAATGTGACAAAGAAGTTATCGTCCAGTTTGAATGAACGAAGAAAACGGAACGACATTGGAGGCAATCTCGCGATGGAAATCTTTCAGGACTTGTTTTGCTCAGAGAGGAATTCCTTTTAAAATCTATCGTATAATAATTTTGAATGCGATTAAAATTTAGTTGAATTCGCGTCGATATATTTTATCAGAAAAGACGTGAGAAGTGATGTCGCTTTTCTTAACCAAAAGGTGCAATAGCTTAACACGGAGGTCCCCTCCGTGTTAAAAATTAGATCGAATTATCATCGAGAGTATCCAGAGAATTTTGAATATTCTTCTTTTAGGAATTTGGTAATTTAAAATTATTGCTTCTAGCTTCTACAACGATGTTTGTTTTATTATTTTTTTTTTTTTATTATCTTTCGAATAGAAACCTCTTAATACATGTAATCCTGATAAAATTTATTTAGTAAGAGATACAAACACGTTTAAGGAATACACCCTTGTTTATTTGTTAAGATAGTTGGAAAAGAAAATTTTCGTAACTTTACGTAAAGTATTATCGAAACAGTTACGTTACGCTAACTTAGCTTTTTGGTTTTTTACTTTTTCAAAGACACGTAATCTATATTCCAATGTGCTGATAAGATTAAAACGACACGATCAATAAAAATGAAACTGCTGCTGACTCTATGTACAGGCAGTGCGAGACTGACTCGTGAGGCTGCCTCGGCACGAACCAACGACCGCTGCGTTCTTGTCGAGATCAAAGGTGCCTCGCAGCTCCTTCGTTTGGACACGTATATTGACGAAATGGATCGAGACGACTTTGTCGAAAGCGTAACCGCTGCTCAATTTGCTTCGCGTAATTACGTCGCGTACTCTGTGTTACGACAAGAGGCAGGCTCACGGGTAAACCTCGCACTGACTGTACATAACGTTAGACACAAAATCG